TGGAAAATTCTCCTGCATTTTCATTCCCAAAAGACATGCAGATCTCTACTTTTTCTACTTGTGTTACTGGTACATATAAGATCAAAATTTTAATAACTTTATTATACTTTTCACTTTCAGTTGTTTATGATTGTTTTTATATGTATTGTGGTAATCCTTCCGGTAGCCTATTTGAATAAAAAGAAACTAGTTTTCACATGCCTACAATCATATCTTTAACATTATGCTTTCCTAATTGTTCTTGCAGGCATCCTTTTTAAACAATGGATTCACAGGACTCTCAGGCCTTCTCATCTTCTCAATACCAATACAATCACACAATACCATCTCAACTCTCAAATCCATCATTTCATCCAAGCCCACAAATTCAACCTGCTTATCACTACAACCAGGCCAATGGAGTATATCCTTTTTTTACCGACCAATATGGATCTCAAATTCCATTCCAAAGTATCTTGAATTCTCCAATATTAAATACTACAATGCCCAATGCTCAAATTGAGAGTTCAAAAAAAAATCAAAAAAGAAAGGTAATGATATCCCGACTGCATCTCAAACTGCAATTTCCAAAAAGGATTGGAGCCAATGGACTAGAGAAGAAGATGCAGCATTGACGGAGGCGTGGTTACACGTTTCAATGGATTCAGACATCGGAAACAATCAGAAAAGTACTGCTATGTGGGCGAGAATTGAAGATGTCTTTAAGGAGAATATGAAGCAAGCTAAAACAAATAAAAAAACAACTGACGACGTGTCACGCCCCGGACCTCCCCGGACACGTCAACAACCCGCCGTACAATACGAATAGTCAACCGCAGTCCAACACATTCATATTATACAAGGCGTCATGAATATCATTCACACATAAGTCATCCATAAACATACATAATAAACAATTCAATACGCAGCGGAAAACATTGTTTAAAACAAAAGGGCCACACAGGGCAAACATGAGCACGCAGGCTCTAAAGTAAAATATCCATGAGCATGTTTATTAATGTTCTAAAACAGAATGGAGGAAGCACGAACCAAGTCTTCTCTCCGGGGAAATCACTCGGGCAACGAGCACAGGAAGCAAGCTCTAGCTTCAACCTGAAATGGTGGTGGGACGCCCCCGAAGGGGTCAGTACTCTATACGGCTATAAAGTACTGGTGTGGCAGGCATCTAATAGATATACAACAAGTATTTCAAACACAAGACCCTCAAATAGGGTGATAGTATATTATGATTTGTAACCCTAAGTTACCCATTTGAAAATATACTTACTTTATGTAAAAGTCAAGTAGTCGGCCCGTGGGCCCATATTCATTTAGAAATCACCATTCCCATTCCCCGTGACTACAAGTCACGACAACTCAATAGAGTCCAAACCTAACACATGACATTGTATTCTAGAGCTCGGCTCTACCACATCACCATACAATTCATGTCACTCGGGTCAATTTCCTTACCTTGCGTTCTAGAGCTCGGCTCTATCACATCACCACGCAAGCCCTAGAGCTCGGCTCTAGCTATACAATACATAGACTCCAAGTCTACACCTTACATGCATTCTAGAGCTCGGCTCTATCACATCACCATGCATTAAGGTCCAATTCTCAAGCAACCCTATGCCTAGAATTGACATATCATTAAACTACCATGGGTCATTCTTAAAGACTGCCCATAACTTAACCTTAGTTCCATACTAAGTTATTATATACACTTGAACTATATTCAAGTACCTTTCGTAAAATCCAATCCCTAGAATCAATTTAATCAACAAGTTCCAATAATCATTAACTAGTATTTCAATACTATTAAGATTATTGTTATCATACCATTATCCTCATTATTTGTAATTCTCTACATATTTATAAGTATGTAGCAGCAACTTAAGTATTCAATCTCAATACACAAATATTCATTTATGTAACCACATAATTCATACATTAGCAAAAATGCCTATTTCACAAAAATAGTTCGTTTATACTCATTTAATCTCATAATATTCATACATTCTCAAATCATTTCAAATTTCATTCTTTGGCAACTATATCAATATTTCATCAATATATAATCATCATAATCCATGAAAAATAATGATTTAAGCATTTAGGTAATCTCATGCTTAACCTACAAGTTGTAAGCAATTAGATGTCAATCCTCACCTTAATTGAGCTTTAAACTTTTCCTTCTTGATCCAATGGTCAAAGCTTTGGCCACGGTGGATTAAGAACTGATTCCTTGCTTAAATATGAGTGTTAAACCGCCTCCCCAAAGTGCTAGCTCACCCTCAAACGTTGATACGAAAACAGCCCCTAGAATGGGTGTTTTCCGGTCAACTCGTCTCCTAGTTTTTCCAAGATTTACTCTAGGTTAGTATCTAACCTCTACATCAATTAAATAACTTTTCAAGGACATATTATACACTTGGATTAGTGTACAATAGTTCCACCAATCGTTCATATCATTTGGAAAATGAAAGGAAAGGTTTTGGGGTTAACAACTCACTTTAGAAGAGTAGATCCGTTTCTGCGAGGTTGTGTTTTTCTCGGACGATTTGGAAGCTTTCCACTACTCCGATTGATGCAAACCAGACCTTCACGGATTCCTCGTCTTGAGAGCTTTCTTTTGGTGTCTCACACGCCTTAATTGGATTGGTATAACTCGAGATATCCACCAAACAGTTTCAGCACTCTCAGAGCTCGAGTTTACAGACCACTGCTCACTCCAGATCGATTTTTGGATGATTACTCTCTCCTCTCGAACAGAGACCACTCAATTATGAAAATAGACTTCAAAAGCTATCCAAGGACACCTTATACACGTTGTTTGGTCGAGTATAACTCCCATAATGAGTGGAGACAAACAGCACACCAGTTTGTGCGAAAAAATAGAGATGGTGGCCCAACATTTGATCCTTGTGCAGCTCCTCTCCATGGTGGTCGGCCAAGGTAAGTCTTCTCACCCATTTTTATTTGTCTTGCAGGTACTAAGTCCATGTGGAATGGTTCCCAATTGATCCCATTCATCTTGGGGTCCAAAATATCTACCAATACTTCCAAAAATAGGAAGATGGGTCCTATTGTTTTATCTTTTGTCAAAGATGTCTTTTTGTACTCATCCTAATTTATTTAGAACAAGTCAACTTCCTAAATCACATTATTGATCTCCAATATGTGTAGGCTCATCTCAATAATTTACTTGATGGATATTATAGAAGGAAAATCCTACTCCCATTATTTAGCTCAATAATCCCAAAGATTTGGTTATAGGCATTTGTATTCTTTTTTAGTCATTCTATCACTTATTTGACATTTGTCATACATATTATTGGGCTACTAGCCGTGTGGGTCACTCCCGAGTGGGTCTAGAACGCCATTCCCGAATACTTGCTATTTTTAGCAGGTTGGGCCCAAAATAATGTTTGGGCCGCCCGACCTTCCTCAAATTGTCTTGAAAGATTATGTATCACTATTTGGATAATGTTGGGCTCTTTTATTTATTAATAAGTCCCGAATAAGTATTTGCAAAACCCGACACTAATATTCGAGTTTGAACAGTACGATAGTCAATCATGCACTACGTAAACATTAATCGTTTTACAATTGCTCGGAAATTCAATACATAAGCTTGAAATTTTAATTGAATTTTCAAGGACGTTCGGGTGCGGTGTCACACGACGCCTCTAGCTTACCTGTAACAGAGGATCCCGTACCGAATATTAATGAAGAAACTATGGTCTCATACGTCCCCAAGGAAGAAAAGGTACCAAGGAAAAGAAAAGAAAGTTGCATGAGGAATATGGTGTGGTGGATGCATTGAACAAGCTACAAGGTACTTTAGAAAAACAAGTTAGTGCAAATATTAGAGCTTTGGAGATGAGAAAAGAGAATGATCAAAAGGAATTCCAAGTGAAAGAGAAGCTGATAAGTACAGAGTTGGAATTAAAAGAGAAGGCACAGAGAAGGAAACTGCAACAACATATCATGAATCAAGATTTAAATAAGCTTTCACCAACTGCTCGAGCAGCATATGAAGACATGCAAGCAAACATTTTAAAAGAATGGAAAAAAGATGGCCTCTTTGGGTCTAGTAGGTAAATAATAAATACAAATGTTTCTGCTTTGTCTTCACTTTGATTGAATGTTCTCAAGTACTAATGAGTAATGACCATTTCTGTTTTTCTGTGTGCAGCACTTGACGGTCAACCCTTCACAATCAGTCTACTAGTACACTTTGATTCAGTGGATGCTCGGGCTCCTCTGCATTTTCTTTTGAAGTATATTATATACTACTACACTTGATATCAGATTTTTTAATAGATAGTTTTATGATTAGTTATTTTATCCCACGTTTTCTCTCTCTTAAAAACAGGTTATTTGTTGATGCTCTGTGTTTTTTCCTTTGAGCTAGATTATACTAATACACTTGATAGTAATTTTTTATTAGATAGCTTTCTGATTAGTTAATGTTTTTCCAATTTTCCCTCTCAAAATCAAGTTGTTTGGTGATGTTTCTTTGCATTTTCTTTTGAAGTAGATGATTTACCAGTACAATTGATAACAGTTTTTTAATAGATAATTTTATGATTAATTACTCTTTCCCCCTTGGTTCTTAAAATCAAACTGTTTGTTGATGCTCGTAAACATTATTTTTGAAGTAGGTTGCTTACTAGTACAAAGATTTTTAAGATCTCACACTATTGATAACTATTACGTATTAATATTATTTGTATTATTGCCATTATTTGTAATATTTTATGTCTTAGCCCTACTAGACTAGAATTATATAGCGGTATGCCTCAATAATGTATCTTTCATTGGCTACATCCTAATGAGTTTACTATATATGCACTACGTACCATTAATAAACACAAGGTGAGCAATTAATCTATTACTGCCTTATAGTCTTATACCAGCATTATCAACAATAGCATATTTTTAATGAGATAATTTTAAGATCAGTGATTTTTTTAGAGAATAACTACTGAAATTGCAAATAAAAGGAGTAATAAAATTAATGCCCAAGAACCATATTAAAGAATATCCGACTATAAAATCATTGTTGGCCTTGAGAGTAGGTGAAATACAATATATGAGGCCATAATAATAAAAGATCAATCAACTTGTTGGCCACCATGTAACTCCCACAAATGATTTATGAGATCATTCTTCAATTCTCTATGCACTCTTTTATTTTGTATCTCCTTCATTCGAGTATTCATCTTTGAAAAAAGAAAGGCGAAATCGTGTTCTGGAATAACATCATCACTTGTATCATCTCCCTCGGGTTGCCAACTTTGAGGATCAAGGCCTTGACTAATCTCGCTTTCAACAACCATGTTATGTAAAATGATACACGCTTTCATAATCTTTCCCAAATCGTTTGGATTCCACATACGTCCCGGACCTTTGACAATATGCCACCGACTTTGCAATACTCCGAATGCTCGTTCTACATCTTTTCTCACAGATTCTTGATGCCTTGCAAATAGTTTCTCCTTCAAAGAAGAGAGATTTGAGATTGTTTGGATTAAAGTGGCATATTGCGGATAAATTCCATCTGATAGATAGTACGCCATATTATAAGAATGACCATTTACCACGTAACTGCACGTCGGGGCTTTATCATTAACTAGGTCATCAAATAAAGGAGATCTATCTAAAACAGTAACATCATTATTTGTACCGGCCATTCCAAAAAATGCATGCCAAATCCATAAATTCTTAGAAGCTACAATCTCCAAAATAAGAGTCGGAACTCTTTTAAAACCGTTAGTATGTGTCCCATGCCAAGCTGTTGGACAATTTTTCCAATGCCAATGCATACAATCTATACTACCAAGCATACCTGGAAACCCTCGGTCCTCTCCCTCTTTCAAAAGTCGTGCAACATCATCTTTGTCTGGTTTTCGTAGATATTGCTTTTCAAAAATATCAATTATAGCATCACAAAATCGTTTCAAACTCTCAATTGTTGTACTCTCTCCAATTTGGACATACTCATCTAGAATATCTGCTGCACAACCATATGCTAACATACGCATTGAAGCCAATATTTTTTGTAAAGGACTCAACCCAGGTTTTCCAACCGCATCAACCTTTTGTGTAAAATAATCATCATGGTTCTCAATTGCTCCCAAAATTCGCTGGAATAATTCAATGTCCATCCGAAACCGGCGACGAAATTTCTCTGGTGTATACTTTGAATTCGCGCCATTGAAATAATCATTAACAATTAGATCATGACGCTCTTTCCTATCACGATGTATATACCGCCTACCAATTGTTGAGCCGCCATGATGACCTTTGTTACTTATTAACGTAGAAGACAATATCATTGGGATACGAACCACACATGTTTCAACTACATCAATATTCATTTGGTCATAAACGACATCATCCATCCTTGAGCCATCGAGCATTTGTTTCAATGTTGTAAGTGACTCTTCGCTAGATGATGAGCTATTGGAATCCGAATCATAAATAGGTGTTTCCATTTATGTCAAAATCAACCTGCTTACAAAAAAGTAATTTTTTTTTAAATCATCATCAGACTCAACCGAAAAAAGAATAAAAGAATCTAACAATTTAATTCAAACCACGTAATAGAAAAATAAATGTTATATACGGAGTATAAAATACATCATGATATCAAAATTCATTACCTGTATGCAAAAAAGCAAGTTGTTTGACCCAATTCAATATATAACCCCACCAAACTTTGATCTCAAGAGAAATTGCTAGGAGAGCAAGTAGGTTTGGCGTGCAGGGTTTTTACGCCGTTAATAAAATACTTCGTATGATATACCTCATATATGCATTAATTTTTTAGGCTGTTAACGATGAAGCGTTGGACTTATTTTTTGGGCTTCACGGTCAAGTTATACCACTCTAACATGATGTGGATGACTATTCCATTCATTAATTGACATGTGTCATAATTTATTCCATGTTAACGGTGTCTCATTGGTGATGCTCATTAGCAATATGCCGTTTCTATTCGTAAGCAAGCTGCGTTTTGTATGTGGGAGTAAAGTCGTAGTTTCGTTTGGCCATTTCCCCAACAATAGTTAACTTGGGCAGTATTCTTGTAAATACTAGTAATTTTAACCTTACATCAATTTGATAAATAGTTTATTTTTTAACAATAATGTGGAAAAAAAGTTAAAAACTGATGTAACTCACGCGCCGGAATATGTAATATGCTTTACTCTCAACTTGTTATACCACTTGAAATATAGTTTTTATAAAAAATATTTTTATAAGGAATCATTTTATATTTTTTATTTCTATAAAAATAATTTTCTTTGAATAGCAAGAGCTTATTTTCTTGTGCAACTCACATTATAATGTAGCGTAACTCGCATTATAGAAAATGTAAATCAGGTGTAAATATGATGTAACTCGCTGAAGAAAGTTGACATGTAACTCACGTTAATAGATACTACCTCCGTTCTCTTTTAATTGCAACGTTGGACTTTTTGCACTATTCACATATTCTACTTTGACTACATTTTATTAATTGATGTATTATAAATTAAATTTTTAAAAAATATTGTTAAATTCTTCTCATTCAAAATTTTCAAAATATGAATTTTTCAAATTTTTTACTAATACGGAATGAAAGATATTAATGGTCAAACTTGTGCGTTGGCAAATATGAAATATTGACTGTTGCAATTAAAAAGGAACGGAGGAAGTATGTAACTTGAGATAAATGGAAATGTAAAATCCTTTTAATAAAGATGTAACTTTAACTTGCTTAGATACCCATGGATGACTATCCCCTACAGAAATTTGAACAAAAAAACTTGAACAAATCGCTAAGTTCCGAGAAACTCAATCCCCTAAAGAAACCCAATCCAAGCTTTAGGAGCCTAATTTCAGATCGTCATCCCCGTGTTAGGCGGCCAGGCCCCCTACCAGCTCCAAGGATGCCCAATTCAGTCTGAAACTTTGGTCTGTGTTGGTCTGTGTTTGGCATCAAACATTCATTTTATTTTTGTTAGGTAGTTACGGCTGATACTCGATTGTATACACATTTAGTGGCGAAATATTTGAGAAATCGAGAGGGGAACGATGCCTTTATGTGTTTTGGGTAATTATTACCCCTTGTTTGAGTATGATGTGATGCAGATGACTGATTAGCTAGAAATTATACATGATGGCCGGGGAAGAGCTCAAGAACGGATCATGGCGAATAGTGCTGGACTCGGGCCGGGCGGCCCGGCCCGGAACCGGCCCGGTTACTGTTTGGCCCGGCCCGGCCCGGGGCCCGGTGGGTCCACCGGTTCGGTTCGGCCCGGCCCGGCTGCTGGGCGGTTCGGGCCCGGGCCCAGGTTTTGGTGAACCGGCCCGGCCGGTTCGGGCCCGGTCCGGGCCGGATTTTAATTTTTTTTTTTTTTTGAAATTTTTTTAAGTTTTAGGTTGGATTAGGTATTTTGGGCCATTTGAGGTGGTTTGGGATGGTTTGGGGTTGAGGGGGAGGGGTAGGGGATTAAATAGGAGAACAAAAAAAAAAAATTAATTGGGCCGGTTCGGCCCGGCCCGGCCCGGTTTGGCCCGGAACCGGGACCGGAACCGGCCACCGGTGGTTCGGGCTCGGGCCTCCCTTTCCTGGCCCGAGGCCCGGCCGGGCCCAGGCCCGAACCGGGCCCGAACCGGCCCGAGTCCAGCACTAATGGCGATTCAAGTGGGAAGCGAAGGAATTTTATTAATGAAACGGCACCATTTGGGATCAACACACCATGCTCAAGGTGAGCCGATCGCACGGTATAATTTGCCATGTATACCCTAGAATCCTACTTCTGAGGAGGTAGCGAGTAAGAACAGAGAAATGGATAGTAATACTGCATATGATTATCGATGACAAGAGATACTCTTCCATTAAAGATATTTTTATACATAGACCCATTGTCAGTTTTCAAAACACGCCAGAATACACGCCAGCAAGTAGAAAGAGAACTATATTCATGCACATGATGACATGAACCATAAAAAGTTGATTGTTTATATTACAAAGGAAATGAAAGAATCGCTTTCCATAGACAATGTTTAATAACCTGAATCTCCACAAGGACAAAATTGGTCTCTGCAATTTGAATATATATGCAAGCATAAAAAAAAAGAGCCTATCTGTACAAAAAAAATCAGGAACAAAGTGACCTATCAGCAAAGTTAAAAAAAAACTTGGTTTGCAACAATGCCTAAAAGGCTCCCAGGAAAGTGTACCATATGAATTGCATTAAGAACTTCCCACTTTCTGTAAAAGAACTTCAGATTTAACCATGGAAACACAGAAGAGTAGAGAAAGAACCAATTTGAGACAATGCTGAACCACAAGGTAGAGAGGATATCTCACTCACAAGTTACACAACCACCTTGCACGTTTTTTATTAGCATTCATACGTTCCACAAGTGATGGAAGAGGCTCAGGTACCGGTACGTTCATAGACCGGTATAACCTTCTCAAGCTTGCACTAAAGCTCTTTGACGATCCATTAGGTGTATTATCAGAAACACTTCTCTGGTGGTCCTTTATATCATCTGTTGAGTTGCACTCCTCAGGTTTATAATTATGCATCTTCAGTTCCACTGATATCTCCTCCCCCTCCAAAGTAACATTCTCTGACAAGCCATTAGGTGTAATATCAGAAACATTTCTCTGGTGCTCCTTTATATCATCTGTTGAGTTGCACTCCTCAGATTTATAATTATGCATCTCCAGTTCCAGTGATATCTCCTCCCCCTCCAAAGTAACATTCTCTGACAAGCCATTAGGTGTAATATCAGAAACATTTCTCTGGTGCTCCTTTATATCATCTGTTGAGTTGCACTCCTCAGATTTATAATTATGCATCTCCAGTTCCAGTGATATCTCCTCCCCCTCCATAGTAACATTCTCTGACAAGCCATCATTTGATTCTTTGGATTTACTTAAGTCTATCTTAATTTCAACTGATGCATGATTCTTATCAGAAACCTTAGAGGCTTTATTGACTTCTGCAAAAGAGGGATCCACCATCCCATGCCTAGCTCTACCAAATAAGGTGATGGGTAACCTTTTCCTCCTCGGAGGAGAAAAATGCTGCACCTTCCTACTTGGTGATACTGCCAGTTGGGTTAAGATCTTACTATTACCCTCAGAGGTGACAACAGATGTGACAGAAGCTTCTTTCGGTATGCCTTGAGATGATGCACACACATCAATCTCCAAAAGTTTCAAAAACGGATCGTCCATATCACGCTTACGTGTAAAGCAATGCTTCTTCACATAATCCAGTTCCATAGCCCTGCAAGTGGGAGTAGTCGAAACAACCCATCTGGGAGCAAGAATCTGTAGGGCCCACTCCAGTTCTTCCCTGGAAGAGTGTATTGAATAACAGACATGCCACACTCCCGATGTATCTCTCACTGCTTGGTCAAACCTTTCCTTTTTCTGTTTCTGCATATCTGAACACTCTTTGTCACCGCATGCATACCACTGTGAAGAAGCACGGATTATTAGAGGCTCGTTTTGATGATTTGCCCGAGCTTCTGCAATCTTTGCTTCTGCCCTCTCATATAGTCCATGGAATCCATCAAACATTTGGAAACGAGAAATTGGGTCTTGAGAGAGAATTTCAGGCACCAAAAGTTCTAGAGTCTGGAAAAATTGTGGAGTTTTCACTTTATCAACATATACCTTACACCCAAAAGTTCTGGATATGTTCACTAGGATATCCTCTTGTCCAAGAAGATCACATGTCAAATACACTGTTGGGGCATCAGGATGCTTCCATATACAGTTTATGACCTGTTTTTTGTAGAATTGTATGTCCATTAAAGTATGAACAAGTAAATTAAAGAAGGTGCAAGTGCAACATGAACTTGTGATAAGTGCAGCAACAAAAAGCCAGTAACCAATGGAAAACTGAGACAACGCAAGTCAAGATCAAGAGAGATAGGCAAAGATGAAACATTAAATAGTCCAAGTGTTTAGGTTAATGAGATTGAATTGTCTTTATAATGTTAGCATACACCTTGACTCTTGGGGCTTGTTTGGTTAAGGGATTGGTGGGGTATTCATTTTTGCTTGCTAACTAATTTGATATCTATTTGTTCCTTAGAGAATAGAGACAAACTAGAAAATAACTACTCTGTATATGCATAGCTAAAAAGTGTAAATTTGTACAACTTTCCATCTTCACTTTCTTTAAACCATCTAAATGCAAGAATAAATTAGCAAAAGCTATATTGCCCATCATCTTCCTTCCCCTTTGAAATCCTTCAACCGAACAAGGGTTTAATGGAACAAATATAAACTATACCTGTTGGATTGCTGACTGCTTGGTGGGCATCCTCGATGGGAACTTACCAAAAGTACAATCCAGGAAAACACAATCAAGTGGACACCTAGGCTCTCTTCCTTTCTTCCCGACATACTTTTCTGGCAATCTTCTTAAACACTCAATAGTAAGTCTGCAATCTCCAGTATGCAAAATGTTACCAAATATCCCTTCAAATAAGAACATAACAGCTCCTGAAAGTTCAAGAAGATTTCATTGGACAGAAAAATAAAAAATATGAACTTCTAAGCAGTACCAGTTAGCTCTCAAATCCCTTAAACAAGTGCTAGTTAAGTGTAACTATCACTGTTTTAAATTTTCTTTATGATTTTGAGGCATGACATGTGTTGTATACTAACCTAAAAATCAAACTTAAACCTTTTTTATTAAATATATTGAAAATTATCCTACTTAAAAAACAATTTATCATATGTCGATTCATGTTAGCCTACCCCAACTCTTTTGGGAATAAGGTTTGGATGCTGTTGTTGTTAAGGAGGTTCTGAAACTGCCAGTACGAAAGTGAAAACAACTTTTCAAGATTGGAGAATTTTGTAACACTAATAATAATAATAATAATCATCATACTTATAGTAATACGGAACAAAGCCTTACGGGATTAAGCATATACAAAAACCACTAAAGACTTTCTTTTTAAAGGGTCCAATTACTTATAGGAGGAAGTCCTTACCGGGACAATGATTGGCATCAAAGGCGGTGACCATAAATTTGCCATCAGGATCCTCAATCTCCAAACTCTGCTCCATCTCAATAGTCACAAAGACTGACCCGTCGAGCTGCGGAGTGAAGAATAATAGAACGAGCAGAAAACGCAGAATCAGAGCAAGTACATAGGCAGAGAGAGGAAGAAGAAGAAAGATAACGCGATCAGACATGCCTGAGGGTAATGTTGAAGGACTAGAGCCTTGGTGATAAGGGTGCAGTAGATCGGATAAGAGGCGTGAGTGGAGATCCCTTGAGTGTGGTCTTTGTGGGCATGCGTGAGGAAATGGTGCCGCTTCCTGCTCGAATTCGGCGACCATGTGTCTACCGAGAACGGCAAACCTTTCAGCATCTCAATCGTCATCTCTTTCACTCTGTCGCTGTCTCTGAATGGTGGGAGAATTTGGGGCGATGATTGCAGGAGGAGGGGGATCACACTTGATTACTCCGTTTGAGAGGGAAAATTGTTGAAAATGGGGGATGGCGGGTGAGAGAATTCATACACAATGTGAGTCTTGTTCCATAAATTCTTAAAATGGTAATTACATTTTTAATTCGATTGATTGATTTTTTTTGTCTGATCTAGTCTAATTTAATTTGTAGAGTCTGATTTAGTTTTGTTTGAATTGATCTTGTCTTGTTTGGTAAAATATGTTTCATTCTAACATGGGGTGATGTCGGTCTTGGACGCTGGGTCATGATATCAGTGGTGATGTCGGTCCTCAACTAGGTCATGATGTCAGCGATAGCGCTATGATGTACACCCCAAGCATGTGTATGCCAATGAAATAGGTAGGTGTAGAAAATGTAACCGAGTCGAGGCGGATCAGGTCCGTTTGCTCTCTTCCGGTAGCCTTAGTGTGGAATCCTACGCATGGTAAGAATCTTTAAGTTCGGCCTCATTGGTGAAACTCAGCCTAGAATTAGAACATTATCGCCAACAGAGAGTTGGGACTAGTAGAATATGATAACCGTCTTAGTGTTGGGCCTTAGCTCTGGATAAATCTTATTTATACCCTTGGAGTACATCCGTATCACTGTATGTACAATATAGTCCATCATAAGTATAAAACTTATATATTTTGTTAAATTAAATAAAAAGAAATGAGAAATATTAACAACACAAAAAATGAAAAAGATCAACTTTATTTATTTCATGAGAAAATTAACAAAGCAATGACATTAAATAAAAATACTAAATTAAACAATACCAACTTGCTATATTGTTGCATTGTTAATTAAACGAAATCAACTTGCTTTACCGTTGAAGTCTTAAATAATTTTATAAAAATATTTGCTTCCGATTTATTTAATTATATTTTACAATTACAATTTTAATTCAATTTTATCTCCCGTTTAGCAGGCAGCTTGTAACGATTGATTTACTTGTCCAAGCTAGGAGGAAAAATGAACTTTAGTGGTAAGTTGGTAGCTTTAAACTTCAGAAAATTGTAGGTAAATCCCTTATTCACCATTGTCGATCACCATCTCCATCGCATGCGTCTTCGTCACCACGGTCTCCTCCTCCTCCATCCATCTTCGTCGTTGACTTTGTGACCGACTGGGAACGGACGACTTGGAAGGGGATCTGGACGATTGTGAAGGGGAAGGGCTGGGTTGGGTGTTGGGGGCTGCTGGGGGCTAGCCGGTTAGGAGGGGGGACTGCAAGAGGGTTGGGGCTTTTGGGGGCTAGGGGAGCGTGCTGGAGGGGGGGGGGGGGGGCTGGGTGGGGAGGAGGGCTGGGGTTTTAAGGATGGGGCTGGTGAGCGGGGGGTGGTGGCGGTCACCGCCGGGTGGTGGTTGCGGTCAAAGCAGGGTCGGATTGGTCATGGTCGCTAATCGAATTGGTCATACTAGTCGAGCAATTGGTCACAGGTAAATTGGTCATTGGTCGGGCCACTAGTTGGTTTGGTCATGGTCATTGTTTGGTTTGATCATGGTCACTGGTTGAGTTGGTCATGACCATTCGTTCGATTGGTCATTGGCCGAATTGGTCATTGTTGTGTTTGATAATTGTCATTGATAATAGTTTAGTCTCTTTTTTTGGAATTTTTTGAAAATGATCATACATTTGTCCATAGCATTTAAGTCTTATTTTTGGAAAAACCCCCAAAAATATTTCATTCACATCATGGTGAAAACCCAAAAGTCTTATTCATTCAAATAATGCTAAACTATAGATAAATTGCACAAATGATTATTTTCTTCTATGGTATGTGTTGAAGTTTATTCCTTCAACTCTTGGGTCCAACACATAAGCTCAAAGATTTTGAGTGGATATTATATGCAAGCAAGTAAGATGGGCTAAGAAATGTAATCAAGTAAGTGGACCGAGTATTATTAGAGCCTAATAACTCCCCGATACAATGCGCTACGCTAAAGCCGATGGCCGTTCGTCTTACACCTCAATAGAAGAGCTGTGAATATTAATCTATGAACTGAAAGTAAGCTAGAGTGGTAAGGCAGATAAGTTGTCAACCCTTTACAATGAAATAATGTTGCTATTTATACCACCAAGGGGCAGTTGACTATACTGACGTAGAGAGATGTGAATGGTTGATGCCTCAACCACCAAATCTCTAGCATTAAATGCGCTTCCCGCTAGAATCTGGGTTTCCCGCCCAATTGTGGGGGCGTGCGTCCCCCTTGTATTGGGGCCTACTCTTGGCAATGCTGCAAAGGGTTGTGGGCAGTACATCACCTGGTCCTTATGTAGAATTCGCTGACTAGCCATACCCTGAATAGACGTTCGTCTTTACACCCTGACTTTGGTGGGCCTAGACGTTCGTCTGAGTAAGGGCTTAATGGGCCGATCCTCTAATTAGGCCATTAACCCAACAATATGATTCATTCACTCCTAATTTGAAAGGTTTTATGCTTTTAATATAACCAAATAACTCATATTTTGGAAATAAAATATAATCACTTGTATATATGCACTTTGTCTGTGTTTTACTTCAATTTGAAGCAATTTCTTTTTAAACAACAAATCACAACTCAATTTGAATAATAAGGCTGGTTAATTTATGATCAGGGCCGGCCATGAGGCCAGTTGGCCTAGGCACTTGCCTAGGGCCTCACCATTTAGGAGGGCCTCAAAATTTTTAATTGGTAGTATTAGAAATGAACTTGTCTGGAAGTTGACTGATGAGGAGCCCCACACGTGAAATTGAGACGTCGTCGCCCAAACTCCCAACTACCAAGACCGGTCATCAGCGAAGTGGCGACAGTGAAGTGTGTGAGACGGAAAGTCGGAAGACGCTGCTCGGCCTAATTTATTGTTTTCTCAGCAGCCATGTTCTTCTGTAGTTTATTAGTAATATTTATTCCCGGTATTAGTAATATTTGTGAGTCTTTGGATAATAGTTTCTGACCTTGATTTATTTACTTCTGCAATTGGCCTGGCCATGAATTAAGAGCATGAGATTCGGAATTTTGCGTTGAGGAGTTCTATAGACTACGCACTTTTTTTTAAAGATAATGCACTTTTTATTAATTAGTAAGTTGATAATAATTGACTCATTGTTAATTTGTTATAATGTTGTTATTGTTCGTGAGTTGAGTTTTGCACTAATATTTATGATTCTAATTGAATTAGTCATTTAGTTGCTTTAAAAAAAATAAATAGTCATTTAGTTGTTTTTTCTCTAATTTTTATAATTGTATATTTTACTTTCTGTGTCCCTTAAAATTTTGTCAAATTAAACCGGCACATGAATTAATAAATTAAAAAATGTGTAATTGAGATTTGTGCAGAGGAGAGAAAATTAACTGGAACTACAAATTCTTACTTAAGAGAGAAAATAACAAAGTTGACAAAGTTATATGGGACGAAGAGAGTAATTCAACAGTTAATTTTAGTTTTTCGTTGATGACTTCCGATTCATTATTATCTACAAATATGTTAAATGGGCAGGTATTGTTATGACGGATAAACAAAAAATTTAGATCGAAAAATAAATTGAGAAGATATTTGAATATTTTTTTCTCATATGATGTTTGTTTATATTCATTTACCCTACTCTTTTAGGATATGTAATTATAGAAAACTTAATACTCCGTATATAATTATTAAATGTTTTCCGCCTAGGGCCCCAAAACTACTGAGGCCGCCCCTGTTTATGATCCTTCTAACACTTTAGTTTTCAACTGCTTTGGTTTACATGCAAAAAAAACTACATGAAGATTATTCTCACGAGAACCACGATAGTCAATTAGAGTAAAATTTGAGATCATCTTTATTTTTTCCCAATGACTATCATAAAAGTTGTTAAATTAAAGATTGGCAAAAATATAATTTATGGATTCAATGATAATTAACAAGAATATGACATTATTTTTTAAAAAGTAACTACATACATTTAAAGCACTGAGTGTATTAAAAAGCCCGCGATAGTCACCCATAAAAGGAAGAAAAACTAAATTTTAAAAAAGAAACTACAAAATAGTTTTTTTTTTTTTTAAGAAAAGGGAATTTTATTGAAATGAATAAATAGTACAATGCCAAGAGGAAATAAAAGAAATAAAAAAACAATACAAAGAAAGAAAACCTTAAAAAACTACACCCAAGGAAATTCTCTAATCTGAGACCTAGTTATCATGTTGTGCCGCCTTTTATTCTTTTAGGATTTCCTGTAGATTTTCAGTTGCGTATTCGGGTTTTCCGTTGGCTGGAAATTCTTAGAGGTAACAAACTTTGATTTTCTACAAATCGCTCTGTTGAATTTTGATTTTGCAATTTATGCCGGAGTTGAGATAGGGGGACGACAATCGTTTTCAGTTGCATGTCCCAGAAAGTCGTCCATATAAAAAGAGTCATCTGATTGATAAAAGTTGTCTGATGCGTCTGAGTATGCCTGAACAAGCCTGGGCTGTTCCACTAGAGTTGGAGACCATTGTTGCTCTGAAAAGGCTCCCCGAATTCGGAATCAAAAATAAGCTTAGATATTGATCTTGACTCCTCTGTAATACCTGTGATTTCTTGTAGCCGGTGCATAGGTTCCTCCTGCACTAAATCAGAAATTCCCACGAAATTAGAAAAGACTCCTAGAAATTCGAGCGGTCTTGCTTTTTGTGGGCCCGCTGGAATTAAAATGAAATTTCCTTTTTCTTTGGCAATTTTTATGAAGCCTCCAGCTTTATTAAAATTTGAAGAGACCGAGATAGACCCAAATCTCCTTAGTTGCTGTTGAAAAAGGTCGGTTCCTGTGATCTGATAAATATAACGGATGATTTGGGTATCGGCTGATCTCAAATCAGCTATATGTGGTATCGGCCGATCTCAAAGCCCGATACCACTTGCTTCTTCATCCGGGTTGGGCCCCTGCTTGGTCCCGGTCAACCGGGCCGGGTCAGGCACTGTAGCTGGTCTGGTCGGGTCCCGTGTCGGGCCGACCCGGCACAGTTCACCCCTACCGAGCATCATGCATCTTCATTATTGTTTTTTATACAAATCAAGATACATTACAGAATAATATACAAACCTGGAATTGAAATACACAATAATATAAACCGTGCCGGTTCCGTGCTTTTTAATTTTTTTGTTGATTCTTGAATTGAAATACACAATAATATAAAAAAAATTCAAGTATATTTATTTCAAAGTACAATTGAGAATTAGGATTAATTTAATAAATGTAATAAATTTTGTAATAAATAATCAATCGGAATCTCCGTATTCGGTTGTTTCCTCCATAAAGTGGCAGGTGGGAGCGATGCTCATTTCTTGAGTTCTTCGTTGGGCCTTCAACCAATCGTGGAAGCAAACAAGCGTCTCAAGAGAGCTCAGGCTCAATCTCGTTCTATAATCGGTTAGGACGTTGCCGGCCGCACTAAATTCTTGTTCCACGGCAATTGTTGATATCGGCATTGCCAGCACTTGCTTAGCCATCTTTGATAAAATCGGGAACGTTCTTTCATTTTCCTTCCACCACTTAAGAACGTCAAAGTCATCCCCAACTTCATAATCAACATTTAATGTTAGATACAAAGAAAGCTCGTTAACTGAGCTTTGTTCATTAGCGGGAGTTGCTTTACTTTTTTTTCATAAGAGAACCAAATGCAGATTTTAAAAGTGATTTTCTTTTAGATGAAGAAGATGTTCGTGGCAGGGGAGGGGTGCAATACCATATTGTGAATAAAATTCATTATACAATTGATGAAATAAATTACTAACCTCATTGAATTCTTGTTTAGGGTCTATGAGATTATCATCGAACTCTTGAGTTGGAAAAAAAGAAGCATAATAGTAATCTATACAATTTCCCAAGTAAGCAAGTTTATAATGAGGATCAAGAATAAATGCAATACCATATATATGCGGAATATGTGAATAATATTGGAAAAATTGACAAAAATAATCTCACATTTCACTGGTCTTCTCGTAATAATCCCACCTTTACATAATCTCAAAATAATCCCACTTTTGCACCTCATCTTCTTCCATTGGACCCTGACCAAGTTTTTTACCTTTCTTTGAAAATCTTATATAAATAATCTCACATTTAGATATAATAAAAAAGTGAAAGGTGAGATGATTTATATGATTTTCAAAAAAAGAGTAAAAAACTTGGTCAGGGTCCAATGAAAGAAGATGAGGTGCAAAGGTGGGATTATTTTGAGATTATGTAAAGGTGGGATCATTATGAGAAGACCAGTGAAAGGTGGGATTATTCTTGTCAATTTTTTCAATAATATTTTAAAAACTTTTGTTTCATGAAATCACAAAAATAACTATCGTAAGCGGCATCGGCAAATTCACAAAAAGCGCCGGCGAGATTAACAGCTTCAACAAAAAATTCGTTTGCGGTAGGTTTATCAACATGACTAAAAGTTTGAGTTGCATTATTAAAATATACCAAAACATTCACAATTTTTCACAAGTGTCGATGTCAGCCGGGTTTATAATATAGTTACAAGATTGTCTTAAAAAAGCAGGAAAATGATCTTTATATCTAATAAGTACTTTAATTAAGTTATAAGTACTATTCCAACGAATAGACAAATCTTTAGGAAAAGCACAATAATTGACATGTCTATCCTTCAAACATTGCCGTCATTGCATTTTTAGTGGAGTATTAGCCCAAATCAATTTAATCCCACCCCCCTCACTACCTCCAAAGCATTTCCTAATGCCGCTAGCCCATCTTGTACACACAAATTTAGAATGACATGCACAACGTTGATGAAAAAACCTACCAATCAATGTAGAAGCACCACACAATTCACGCAATCTAGGTATAGCAGCGGTATTGTTACTAGCATTATCAAGACCTACACCAAACACCTTATCAATCAAATTATACTCAATTAAAATATGCTAAATGAGAAGATAAATATTATCAGCAGTGTGTCGATCATTAAATTCACGAAAAGCAAGAACACGTTTATGCATATTCCAATCATCATCAATATAATGTGCAGTAAGACCCAAATAATATAAATGATGATAAGTATCCTCTCATATATCGCTACAAATACTAACACGTCCATCAAAGTTTGCGAAAAATGTTGGTAATTTTTCTTTTTCCAAGTTATATTGCCTTATAACTTCTTTTTTAATCGTTTTGCGACTATAATTTCTAAATTGAGGATTTAAAGTACCTTGAGCATAATCTCTTAAAGCAAGACTTTGGGAAAAAATATAAGGTAAATTTTCTTCAACAATTAAATAAGAAACACCAGTCAAATGTTTTTTATCATCATATGTTAATTTACCAAAGGGTTGAAAACCTCGATATTTGTGTTTGCTTCCCCTTGCCTTTGTCTATTTTCGCATACTCCACTAAGTGCGCAGACTTAAGATGCCTTGTCAGACTCTCGTATCCGCCACAAGTTCTCAAGCTATACTCTTTGTTGCAATGATTGCAACTTGCGTACCATTTATCGGTTTTTTTGTCTTTCCTTTTTGTAAAATTGTTATCAATAATAGGAGATTTAGATTTCTTACCAATTTGGGATGAACCGCCCTCGTCCTCCAACTCTTGCTCATCATCCGGGGTGCCATCCCCCCCCCCCCCCCGCTCGTCCTCCTCCGCATCCTTATCCTCGAGCTCATCTTCGTCAATGGTTGTTGGGAATTGTTGTTCTTGTGCAAAGCGTGGATCATTTTGGGACAATAGGTTATGTAGTTGGTCGTCGGACATCGCCTTATCATCTCTCCGTTGGTAATCCATTTCAAAATCATCTCGACTTTGAAAAGAAGACCCGGCCCGCGCTTTACCTTTGCCTTTGCGTGAACTAGGATGAGTCATCGCAATCTCCCTTTTCCGTTTGCGTTGGAGATTACTCATATCTACAAAATGTTTACCACGGTTCATCATTAAAATTGAACAAATATTAAATTATATCAAATATTTTATATGAGTACAATAGTAATAATAAAATGTGACTAAGAAAATTATAGCAAATTTGAACTAAAAATGAGTATATCAAATGTAACAATTTTTTTCCTTGAAAAAAAGTTCGAACTACTTCTAATTAATACTTTAATGAGAATTGTACCAATTAACTAATATTAATATGAGAAATGTAACAAGTAACTAGTTTTTTTTTTTACTTTAAAGAGAAATGTAACAATTAACTAGTTTTTTTTTCTTTAAAGAGAAATGTAGAGAAATGTAACAATTAACTAGTTTTTTTACTTTAATGAGAAATGTACCAATTAACTAATATTAATATGAGAAATGTAACAATTAACTAGTTTTTTTACTTTAAAAAGAAATGAAGAGAAATGTAACAATTAACTGGTTTTTTTTTACTTTAAAGAGAAATGTATTGAAATGTAATAATTAACTAGTTGTTTTACTTTAATGAGAAATGTACCAATTAACTAATATTAATATGAGATATGTAACAATTAACTAGTTTTTTTCTTTAAAAAGAAATGTAGATAAATGTAACAATTAACTAGTTTTTTTACTTTAATGAGAAATGTACCAATTAACTAATAGGAAAAATGTAACAATTAACTACTTTTTTAGTTTAAAGATAAATGTAGAGAAATTAACTAATATTAATATGAGAAATGTAACAAGTAACTAGTTTTTTTTCTTTAAAGGGAAATGTAGAGAAATGTAACAATTAACTAATTTAATAGGAAAATGAGAAATGTAACAATTAACTAGTTTTATAAAATGTATGAATGTGTATAAGTATATATACTATATATAATGTGTAAATATATTATAAGTAATACTACCTTCGTCCCCTAAGTTTGGGACAAGAGAAGGTGTCACGGTTATTAATAAAAGTGGGTTTATGTGGTTGATATTGAATTGATAAAGTAAGAATAAAGTAGGAATGATTTAGAACCACACAAACTTTATCAAATAATGTATGAGACAATCTTAGTGTGACGGACCGAAATGGTAAAATGGGACAATCATAGTGGGACGGAGGGAGTATATAATATAATGTTTATAGTATATAATATATAAGTATATTACTATAAGATGAGTAATACACTTATACTTATCACTTTAATATATATATAAGTATATATTAACTAAATGTAATATGTAAATATAAGTAAATAACAATAGTATAGATAATAACTAAATATCAAGTAAATATGAATGTGTATAAGTATATATACTATATATAGTGTAAATATATTATAAGTAATATATAATATAATGTTTATAGTATATAATAAATAAGTATATTACTATAAGATGAGTAATACACTTATACTTATAACTTTAATATATATAAGTATATATTAACTAAATGTAATATGTATATATAAGTAAATGACAATAAGTATAGATAATAACTAAATATCAAGTAAATATTAAGTAGATAACAAGTATATATTAAGTACATAATAAATATTAGTAATATAATATATGTATTTATAAGTTGATAATTAATATATAAGTAGATATAATAATTATATAAATAATATATAGGAAAAATTGATTGTAATAATCCCAACTATTGGCGGTCCGCTTATAATAATCCCAACTATCGATTATTTCAGAATAATCCCAACTTTAGTGTCCTTCCGCCAATAACAGTCCCTGTAAATAAATTCATGTCCTTTCTAAAGTGGATGAGAAGAGATATAACAAGTAATCTCTATAAATAATCACAACTTTTAATTTTTACGCTTAATTTCTATTTAAAATTCACTTTCATAGAAGGTAATATTTGGTCATGGACCATTATTGGCGGATGATCCATATAGTTGGGATTATACAAAAATAATCAATAGTTGGGATTATTGTTAACTGACCGACAATAGTTGGGATTATTATTTTCAATATTTCCTAATATATATGTAGAGAGAATTGGAGAAGATGAAGATGATTGAATATGAGAGAATAGAGAATTAGAGAGTAGGAAGAGTTGTAGGAGAAGAGGTGTAAAAAATGTATAGAAAATAGGAGTATAAATAGGTTTTTTTTATCCCCCACCCCACCCCCCAACCCCCCCACCCCTCTTAGGCCTCCAACGGCTATAGAGCCATTTGGGAACAGTCCCAACGGCTAGGAGGGCTTAAATATTAAAAAAAAAAAAAAAAAAAAAAAAAAAAAAAAAAAGTGACCGTAACGGCCCGGACCGGGGCCGGACCGGCCAGGCCGGTTCATCATTTTTAAGGCCCGCACCGCTATATGACCGGGTCAGTTGGCCCGACCCGGCACCCAGACCGGTTCCCGAGCCGGGCCAGGTACAAACAGTACCGGTCCGGGCCGGGCCGGGTAGAAACAGTACCCGAGTCCACACCTACGGGGTCGGGCCGGGCCTATTTCTATTTTTTTTTTTCAATTTTTTGGGTTTTTCCCGGGTTGGGCTGGATGTTTTGGGGGGGATGGGGGGGGGGGGTCTGGGGTTAATTAGAAAAGCAAAAGAAAATAAAAAAAATAACATTGAACCGGCCCGACCCGGAACCGCCGGCTACCCGGGCCAGTTCCGGTTCCCCCCTTCCAAAAAAAAGCCCGGCCGGGGCCAGGACAGAACCGGAACCGGCCTGGCCCAGGTCCATCACTAATTGTAGGGATGGATTCGGGCCGGGCCAACCGGCCCGGAACCGGACCGGCCCGCTACTGTGCGGGCCCGGACCGGCCCGGTGAACCGGTTAGTGTCCGGTTCGGGCCACCCGGCCCGGTGGGCTTCGGTTCCGGGCTCGGGCCCTCCATTTGGTGAACCGGCCCGGCCAGTTCGGGCCCGGTCCAGGCCGAATTTAATTTTTTTTCCTGAATTTTTTTAAGTTTTTGGGTTGGGCTGGATATTTTGGGCCATTTGAGGTGGTTTGGGGGTGGGTTGGGGGTTAAATAGAAGAAGCCAAAAAAAAAATTACAAACTGGGTGGCCCGGCCCGGAACCGGTGGCTACCGGTTCGGGCTCGGGCCCAACAAAACAGAACCGCGAACCGGAACCGGTCCACCCCTAACTAATTGTGATCTACTTGCAGATGTCCGAGCTGTACATATAGTCATATATGCTTCTGACCAAAGATTTACAACTACTGCACTCGTGTACGTGGGAGGGGGGTAAGTACGGTGCTTTTGAGTTGTTTGCCCATGTTGAGAAGAGCAACACCTAATTTTTTTAAGGAAATGTAAGGACCCTTTGGAGTCTATGTTATGAATTTCATTTACATTTCATGCCTACTACAGGGAAAAGAAAAAAGATAAATTTACACATTACAAAAGGTTGCGGGCTTGCGGCTAATATGCAACCATAGAGCCTGATCACCCCATCCAAAACTATCCACTCTATAACATATATTTCCCACTATAGGGGTCTAAATAATGATGCACTAGAGAATAGGCGATCTTCTTGGAGATCTACCTGGTGTTTGAGTTCTACATGGAGGAATCTCAAGCCACGGATCCAGCATGTTGTTCCTTGTGTTGGCTGTTGCCTTAAAGGTTAGGTAGTCACTATGGTGGTTGCCAGATTCGCCACCAAAAACATGATGGGAGGATCGATGCGGTGGAGAGAGATAACTTATTCCGTGTGCCGCGGGCCCAGTGCGCTTTCTTAATGGGCTTGAACATGGTGACACTGGCAGTGATGTCACCATTTTTGCATTTTCTCTTCTGTTGAGGAAGACAACGAAAGGTTCAGAAAATATGCACTTAAATGGATCTGAAATAGTATTACAAAAATATGTTACTCTGCCTGCAAGGATTTGTATTACCTTAAACTGTTCGGGGTGGCTCTAGAGACAGTTGACATGGGTTTGAATGAATTGTCACCTCCACCAAGAGAAACAGTATTTCTTGGGCTATGTCGCAACTCTGGAGCCGGCTGTGAAAAGCAAATGCAAATCAGACCCCATTCAATGGGATAAATTAAAATATTATACGACTGTTTGTATCCCGGAAAATGGTACATGGGGAAGAAAATGATAAGGAAAATGATTTTTATGGTCACTAATAAATGGGAAAATAACCTTAACTAATACCAACACCTATAAACCAATAACATTACATACTTCAGAAATAACTATTAGTAATATCATCATTTTGAATCAAATAAAGCGATACGTAACCATTTTTGCAGTAGAAATTTGACCAATTTACTCATCAAAATTATATCATAATGTCAAATAAGTGATCCCGTTTTGAGATACCTTTTATTTGATTATTGACATTATATTTTGATGCGATAATATTTTTGATATTTTGATATGTAGTAAAAAACTGGCTCCATATTATTTTTGGTATATATTCAAATAGTTCATATTATTAAAAGTTATTACTTAAGTACATATTATTATTGGTTTATGGCAAATAGTTTATGGCATTATTTAAAGTAATTTTCCCTTATTAGTTGATTTTTTCCCTGTTTAAAAGAAAAGTAAAATCCTTCCATATTTTCATTCTTAAGTTCTTTCCCTTGGTTGGAACTCGTAAAATGTTAGGGAAAGATAATAAAGGAAAAAGTAAAAAACATAAAAAATATACAAGGGGCAAATGTAAGGGAAACTCAATAGTCAACAAAATCATTTGTTCAAACTCAATAAATTAATTTTCTATTTTTGTTCA